AAATATTTGTTCATCATGTAAACTCGTGTCTTGTTTAATTTTTTGTGACCTTTCTATTGCAACTCATTGGGAAACATACACTAAAGCCTAAAATACGGGAATCTCCCGTTATTAGCAGGCCTAACTGCATTGCTCTGCTGGTTATCTGAGAAATATCACAATAGCAAACATGGTGATTGTTTCAACGCAATTTCTGATGTGGTGTTTGAGTTTAAACCTATTTTGTGTTCCTATATGTGTGAAATATTTTTTCTATATTTCATTCTTTTGCCTTTTCTGCTAGTTTGAAAGTTTATTCCGTATTCATGTATGGGATGCATAAATACAAAAATGGGAACATGAGAAAGAAAATATGGTCGAATGCTGGGTCAAACTATATTTTTACTAGGCCCTAATACTCGAAAGATGTACATGAATACGTATTGAGGTTGTTGGTCACTTTACTGAATAACTGAGGACCAAAGCGAGGATTTTAAAGTGTAAGAATACTAAGATACTACAAAGAGAAAGGGTGGGAGGATATTAACCCACAATCAAGACTAATTCAAGATGAACATATCTAATAATAAACTCTATAAACCCAATACATTATTATTGATAACCTTCCTACAGAGATTGAGTTCGTCATATTAAAACGATTTTGGAGGCTTACCACGTCGTTATACACAATTTGGTCATGTCCGGTCATACTCTATCTTATGACTGTACGTCTTTACAATAACCATGGAACACAGCTTTTATTACAAAATGCTCCACTGTCAGGCTTACTTTTCTAAATCTTACTACACCTCCCTGAATAATTTCCATAATCCTTACAAAATATAAAGATGACAGTTTCCAGCACTCATTTCAACAGTCTAATCCCACAAAAATCCATAATTACTTCATCCAGCTAACTGACCGATACGTCTTTATATGGAACAGTATGAATATTTCTTGTTTCATTCTCTATCTGCTTGAGGTATTTGTCGTAGAAGTGTAGTATGCAGGTACATTATATGTTTTCTACCTTTTATTAATTTAAGAATTTTCGAAAGTTTTCATATAGTCTGATTCTATGCAGTAAAAGCATAAAGATGTGGTTCAAAAACAGTTGAGTTTTTTCATTCTAATTACTTTTGTCCCTTTGTTTTCTGTAGCAGATAATATCTACTCTGACTGTTGGGATATTGATATCACTTTGCACATTGTGTAGAAACAGGTTAATCACAGTAGTATCTTTCACTGGCCAAGTAGCTTATATCTAGAGGTTGCAGCATTAATTATGTTGTAAGAGAACGACTAGTCACATGATAATATGCTTCATTTTGGAGAAACCCAGTGTTTTCTGTTGTTACAGAGTGTTGGATTTACAGCAGTTTTTTACTTGGTCAACACAGTCAGTAAACTAATAGAAAAAAATGTCAAGAGACGAAAGCTGTTGGCTAATTTACCGATCTTGTATAAGGTAACTGTCCAGTGTGCACATTGTGTTTTTTGCTTTGCGTATATTAAAGATTGTGTTTCATTTAACATCACGTGTCCAATCTGTTTATTTTCTTAGCTTCAACTTGGCTACTTCCCATCTTTCCTGATCAATCCTCCTGTTACAAAGTGCACCTGTCTAATACTCACGAAGAAATCAGTTTCACCTGAAAATACCACAGAAGCATCTTGTGTATACTTCTGTCACTTTCCATGGAAAGATTCTTTCTGAATATATTATGTACTTTTACCTGGGGGGACGTGGACGACTTTTGCCATTGGCCTTTGCGTTCTTGGATTCTCACTTGTTACTTTTCTTATCACGGTTAGAATACGGCTTGTTGCAGGTCTCTTTATAGATAGTCTTGGTGCCACAAGTTGTTTTCCAATGCCATTAAAAACATTGGATATTTATTCCTGTCTTTGAAATTGGTATTGGACGAAAGGCCTTTCTGACACTAGATATGGCTAACGTAGTATGGTTGATTGTTATTGCATTTTTTTTGTTTTCACTCTTGAGTTATTAGAACTTACGATATGAGTGTATAAATATGTTGCGTCAAAAATGGCTTTACGTACCTGTCCCCAAAACGATCAGTGTTAGTCATTTTGGTCTAAGAGTGTAAAATCTGTGGCTCCGAAATATTTTCTGTTAGAACGTGTCACACATTCCTGTCTGATTAGACATAAGATATATTTATATATCCAGCTGAATAATTTCTCTGGTTTAAACAATAAAATTTCGTCACATCGAAACAGTGATTGCTTATACACGTGCAAGAAATCGTTAAATAACATTGAACTTTTCAAAAAAGCTTCGAAGTTGAACTTAGCAGCATTTCACCATTTCATAACTATAGCATGGAATATATCTTTATGTAGATATGTTCACGTAATATTTCTCCTAAATGTTTATGCAGTTAATTACATCCTTGTTGACAAGTTGTCTCAAGGTTGTACAATAACATGTTTCAGCCTTTTTTTCTTAATTCTCAAGCTACCATGTACGTGTTTCTATTCTGAAATGTACTACAGAAACCTGCAAAAGTTGTTTGAGATAGTTGGGACGTATGATGAATTGTGGTTGAAGTGTGTAACCCACAGGATTGTGGGATACCATATTAAAGCTCCAGTACAATTATAAAGGGGATATTCTCACAATTTTTTATTTTGACATTGCCTCTATTAGTTCTGCTCTTGATTTTGACTCCGTCTTAATCTGGATTCTTCTCTTGATTTGTGCTCTTCATTCCACCAGCCAGAAAGTCAACGAACAAGAAGCTGGCCAGTTTTAGTGTTAACACTTGCAACATTGTGAATAAAATGTGTTTATGTGTTCACTAGTGTTTATTTGTTTTCCTTTGCTGTCTGTATTCAGTTTATTCTTTACATAACGTTTCCTGAACTCACGTTTTGTCGACACTTGTTACATGTTAAATATGAATGTACCTGAATACAACAAAAAAGTAATACTACATTAAGACTGAAAACATTTTTAAACACTTTGTTCTGAACTGGCTTACTATAAATTTCTAGTAAAAAAGAACACGGTAGTATTTTCAACTAAAATAATACCTTAAAAATAAATATTTTATTTTATCTTTTCTCCTAGGAAAATAGATCTAAAACTTACTAAATGCCTTTTTTAGAATCTAGTAAGTCCATTATACGCTTTACGATATGTTTCTTTTATTACTCAGTACTATATGATGCACATTTTTATTTGTTTTAGAATAACCCTCAACGTTGTCCGTACGGGCTCTATCCTGAACAGTTGTCTGGGACTTCCTTTACTTCTCCTAGAGAGACGAACAGTCGCAGGTTATACATTTCTCTTTCTGGTTCAGTATTCTCAAACTGATTTTGAAGTTTATGTTAAACGTTCAGATTTTAAATTTGCAAATACCTTATCTAACTTATTCACTTTTCAATTCATTCAAGTCAGCTTTGTTTAACTGTTCCAACTAATTATGAGTTAAAAGTTTGATAAAAAAAATTGGAATCACGAAGAGCCATGGTTCAGAATGGTGCCTTAAAACTAAAGCTGTGAGCTTATTTTCGTTATATACATTTTGGTTTTCTAAATTGTTTTTAAGGTTATTTAAATTCAGTATCTTTTTCAACATAAAAATCATATTATTTAAAACTCAACTAAACTGCTCTATGGGCTTTTTTCAGGAACAAACTATACAATTACATTAAAATACAAAATAGTAACCCTATAGTCTACTCTTACTTTTATTGTAGTTGATTACAATGTTGCCTCACTTGTTTCTTCTAACTTGGTTTTTGTGTATGATATTTCTATTCTATATGGCCCAGTCTGTTTTATAACTTGGTGTTTTTTTCACATTGACAAAGTTTTTGCTATACATTGCGCTTCTTTTTCCATGACACGTGGTACATACAGTGTTACCTGAACTGTGTGTTCAATGTCAGTGGTTTTGGTTGTTTGTCAAACAATATATTATCTAATGATAGAATATATTTCGTGTGTAACTGCTACTGCCACTTATTTCAGAAGGGGCGGAGTTTCGGCTTTCTCTCCAAATAAAGCTACATCATGCAGCTGAGAAACACGTGCTATGTTTGTAACTAAATCGGAGCCTTGTGGCAAAGTAACAGTGTGATAAACAGAGCGTTGTCTGGTTTGATCCTAACTTTGAACACATTATTTTTGTAGAAATTGTGTTTTTAAGTGTTTTACACTCACAAAAAAGAAACCTGTCATTCTATAGGTTTAAATAACTCTGTTCCACTATGTATCAGCTGCCTAGTGTCGGCTAAAAATACGAAGAATTAAATTGTAGCGGAATGCTACAAGTTCTTTAAATACCTATAGAATGATAAGTTTCTTTTTTGTGAGTGTAGAACACTTAAAAACACCATTTCGATTTTTGATACCTCACTACTATAAAGG